TAAGGTGGCACACTGAGCTAATATCAGCTTGTGCATATAGCTTATTATAGGGTTCATATTACTCAGGGATTAAAGGTCGCCTACACTATGTCAAAGATTAGACTGATGTCCATTAAACAGCAAACAAGATTTCAAATTAAAGGTCACACATTCTGCAAATTACACTTCACCATGTTTATCTAACACTAATATGTGTCCATTAGTCTGTCTTCAAACCCTCAATGATGAGAAAAGTTCATCCTCTCCATCTTTTCCCTGCTCCACTTTTCAGAAAATGTGTGCTCAAACAGGCTGTTTGGAGACTTTCCCTTCATGACATCACAAAGGGCAGTAACCCCTCCCCAGGTGGGTGACACTCCCACAGCTAGGTGTTTGTTCTGCCCTCTAAGTCTGCCTTTCACCGTAAACAAAAGGGCATGGAGCGAGAAAGGCCGAGCCAACCCAAGCCCTTCCAGAGAGGGGGCGTGGTCAAACACAGCTCATTTACATTTAAAGGTACAGACACAGAAACAGCCTTCTGAGCAGGGCTGAAATAGAGGGGTTTATATTTCATGATCAAATACAGGATCAGAGTATATTTAGAACAAGAAACTTCACAGACATGTTTTCAGGAGCTCTGAGACTTATTTAAACTGGTTGAAGAGGAGGAGAATATGTGAGCTTTAGAGAAAAAGTGTATAATGTGGGGTGGTCATGACACCAGAATTTCAATTTTCGATACGATACTAGTAAACCATTTCCTGTTTCGATACCACGGCAACCAAAATGTAAATCCTAGGCAACCAATTAATTGTATTTTCTTGGGCGTCACGTTGGGACAGTGCTCTCTCTCTCTTCAAGTTAAAATGTTTTTTTAAGCTATTGTTCTAAAACACGTGGAATCAAATAGTATCAAATATTTCAGGGTAAGGTAAAGCTCGTTCATAAAGACGTGACCGGTGATGTGTTCATGTAAACCCTCAGATTCAACTTACCTAACAGGACAACTCACTGCGACCTCCTCTCTCTCTTCACTTTCACAAACCCTCAGAGCAGCGCAAACCTTTACAAGAGAAGCTCACGATCATTAGTGACAAAGAAAACAACATTTCATACCTCGAGCAGTTTTTAATCTCTGCTGCACAAGTCGCTGACACAATCAAAAGGAAATACAATAAAATAAAAACGGCCAAGCACAAGGCCGAGAGGGAGGCGGTTCAGGAGGCTCGGATCACAAAGAGCGACGTCTGATGTTTAATCTTTTACACAAACGAGGAATGACATGGTTGTAGCTGTTCTGACGTTTTAACACTGGATCTATCGTTGCCGATGAAAAAAAAAAATTAAAAATATGCAATCAATATCTGTAATGTTATTCTCAGTAAATAATCACATTTACTATTAAATCACCAAAGATGACTCCCGGGTCAGGATGTCAAAGGATTAAAGGTTAAGAAGCAAAAAATAAAAACAGGAAATAATTCATTATTCAAATGCTAGCATGATACAGGAATTTAAGGACATGTCTGTGGCATACAATTCAGTCTTTTTATTTTCTTTTTATGTACAGATTAGAGGAAAATTTGTATCTACTTCTATACACTGTTCCATGAAGTTTCGCCGTCAGTTGACCACTTAGCTTTTTTTCGTCCAACAGCACGACTACAGTAGAATGAAAATCAAGACGTGAACGCCCACTCAAAAACTGAAAGATACAAAATGATAATAATAAAAACTTCAACGTACTTATTTAGGCAACCAACAAAAGCAACTTGGAGAAGGAGAGAATATGCAGGGAGCTAAGTGGTCAACTAACTCGTGCCTTTTTTTTTAAATTTGTTTTTTTTTTAACTTTTTTTTTTTTTTTTTGCATTACGTACATATACAAGTGTCGATAATATAAGTATATATTCATATATACATAATGAGTATGTATATATACCGGTAATGCATTCATTATATATACTTATTTTCTTCACAGATATGTGAAACAGGAGAAAAGATGACCGTTACGGATAAAAAGTTAAAATGAAACAAAATGCAGAAAACAAACCTACTGATAGAAACAATTTGTAAATGCACTTTGCACTATTTTTTATGTGGTTTTAGAAAATGTTTTTCTTTTTTTTTGTTGCTTTTTTTGTATTTTATCACTTAATTATTTAGGAGAAGACTCTCATTTAAAGTAGGAATAGTACCCATTGCTACCGTTTGAACTTCCTATACTCAGCTCTTGGAGGAGGGAGAGAGGGTCGCTGTTCTTTTTGGCCTGATCAGGACGAACAGCTCTGGGTTTGGGTGGAGCACGGAGGGCACTGGCGTAGGACATGGTGGGTGGTTTGCTCAGATTTGGAGGCCCCTGGCCTGCCTCCGTGGGAGCCTGCGGCGGCGGTGGCGGTTGCTGCTGCTGCTGCTGCTGCTGTTGTTGTTGTTGTTGTTGTTGTTGTTGCTGCTGCTGCTGCTGCTGCTGTTGTTGTTGTTGTTGTTGTTGCTGCTGCTGCTGCTGCTGATGCTTGTTATTGGGCATGAGAGGAGGGAACTGTCCGAGGTGCTGCAGGGAGTTGAGGGAGTGTGGGTGAGACTGCTGTGCTGCCGTGGCCTCGGCCTTCACCTGCTCCTCACTTTGACGGAGAGCCTTAGACGCTGCAGGGAAAAGAAAAGATTAGAAAGGTACCCCAAAAAGGTTGTTTGACGGATCTTCACGAAATCACACTGACAATATCCCGCTGTTGGGCATGAAGTTTACAGACGTTACGCTCTGTTAAGATAGTTTTTAAAGGACTCTGCTGCATTGATAAACATTTTCCTAAAACTGGCTTAATAACTCCGCCTCAGTTGTTGGTCAACTTGACCTACTTCTCAGCCACTTAGTTCAGGACGATCACCGTGCCTCCCCCTGGTGTCTCCCCCTGGTACTGCAGCTGAGAGTGACAGCTGGCATCGATCACAAGGGGTCCACTCGATTTACCGACAAGTGGCTCCGTCCTTTGTTGTGATCATCAATTTAAAGTCTAAATTGTGAATATAAGATGTTCCTTCTTTTTCAGATGTGTTTCAAGGATTAGAAACTGATTAGTCCGGCTTTCAGTCATCTCAGTGTAAAAGAAAGCAGTGTATTCAGAGATACTCACCCATAAGGTCTCGATGCTGAGCGAGCGTGCTGGCTCCGTTACACGGGATGTTCTGGAACGGACCAGGACCCCCGCCATTACTGGGCCAGAGGTCATGTGAGGAGTAACCGTAGGGTGCGTGTGGGTGCTGATGATGCTGTATGTGCGGATGGGGGTGGTCCTGGGGATCTGGCGGACAGGGCTGGGACTGCTGGGAGAGGGCGTTGTGGGTGTTGGCTGGAGACGAGTCGTCTGGGTAGCTTGAGGAGATGCGGCGCTGATAGAGGGGCCGGCCCGGACCTCTGGGTTCATACTGTACAGACAGAAAAGATGGAGAGGGCGGGCATGAAGTCAGTATGATGAGTGGATAATATGACCTTCTGAAGTCACCGCCTTGCAGCGCTTACTTAAATTTGGAGAAACAAATGGAAAGAAAGTGAATGAGGAACAGCTAAAACGCCCTGATCAGAAGATCGAACACTAATTTCCCACTATTTCCTTAAAGTATGACAACTTTGGATTTAGTTTAATTCAAAATTAAGATCTAAATATGTCTGGGAAAACCTGACCTGGCTAGTGAAACAGTAATGCTAAAGAATAAATCGATAGTTTCATCCATCGAGGGTCAGAAAGTTAATGCCAAAATGCCTTTATTAAATCAATTGTCAAAGTTTGAAACGTGAGAATGAGCAATATTACAAGTTTCTCTGATGCATTTGGCTGCAGAAATTGGATGGTAGAAGATGGTAAAATTATTAACGATAAATGAATTACTCTTACCTCATCTACATTGTGAAGGGCTGCGGCTGCTGATGTTCTGGGGGACAGGGGGTGATAGGACTCCTGGTCTGGACCTTGACTCTGTTGGTGGTGTTGCTGCTGCTGCTGCTGCTGCTGTTGTTGTTGCTGTTGTTGCTGTTGTTGTTGTTGTTGTTGTTGTTGTTGTTGTTGTTGTTGCTGCTGCTGCTGCTGCTGCTGCTGCTGCTGCTGATGGTGCTGATGGTGAAGTTGCATCAGGTGGACTTGCTCCTGCCTGCTTGGGTGAGCCATGATGGGCAGTCCATAAGGAAGACCATGGCCTTGGTTCCCCAGTAGGTGGTTCTGCTGCGGTGGGCTCACTGATGCAGCTCCGCTGTGGGACCACTGGGCCTCTTGCAGAAGGTATTTGACCTGGGAGGGAGGGGGGCTGACAGAGTGGGCCGGCGGCTGATGGGGGTAGCTACCAGTATTATACAGGGGGTTTCCTGGGTGCTGCTGCAGGGCGGGGTTGTTGAGAAGGTTGTCGTTTAGGAGATCGCGGCCACTGTCATGGGGGTATGGTCCTGGTGGGAAAGGGCCGGCATGATTGGAGGTGGCAGCTAAAGAGGATGAAGGGTCATTTGATGCACGGGCTTGGGACTGGCGGTACTGGAGGAGACGGGATTGAGGTGGGGGCTGCATCTCAGCTGCTTCTCTGGGTTCAGGCTGCTCCTGTGGGGGCATCTCTCTCAGGAGGCCCGGGTACCTGGGAAACAAAAAGGTTGTTTTTTTTACCCCTCAAATTGGAAATATCTTAGAAAGCAGCAGCAAGGGAAATATTTTCAATTGTTTTAAACATGTATTTTAACTTCTAAAACAGAAACATAAAACCAACTGTTGCAGAGTCCTACCTGGTGAAAGGTGGCCCAGTCGAGGCAGAAGTGACACCCTCTTCCTCCATATTGGCACTTAGGCCCCAACTAGCTGCCCGGAGCAGCTGAGGGGGGAAGCGAGCCATGCCGGGCTGAGCGAGGTGGGCGAGCTGTTGGGGCAGAGGGAAGGCGACGCTGCCCTGCAGAAAAGGACCAGCTGCCTCCCCCCACTGGCCCAGCCTGGCCGCCTGCTGCTGCTGCTGCTGCTGCTGCTGGCTCAGGGCCTCGAGAGCCAAGGGGTCTGAAAGGTTAAACCACAAGATTAGTTTTAGAGTGCCTGGTGGTGTCATCTGGGCTCAGCGGGCTTTAGTACAGTTTTTGAATCTCCTTTTGCCATTAGAAATGATAGTTAGATTTACTATCTAAGCAAGTATTTATTATATTATATATTATATTTAGTATTTAAAGAAAACATTAAACACTCTTGAAACACAATACATCCTTGATAAAACAAATAAAAAAATGATGCTCTACTCACCCAAACCTTCTCCCATGTTTCCGTCCTGCCCGTCCTCCCCAAAGCTGTTAACCCTGTTATGCTGCGACATGCCCGGGTGGTGCCCCCCTGGTTGGCCCATTGGAGTCCTAATGGAGCCACTCATCTCCTCCACCCCTCCAGGCTCAGGCCCATCCAAAGTGGGGGACTGCACGGCCCTGTGAGGGGGCACGGGTCCGCTGAAGAAAGAAGCATTGTGGCTGCCACCGGTGTAGGCAGGGCTGAGCTGCTGCGGTTGCTGTTGGCTCTGTTGGGCCATCCCCGGGTGCTGAGGCTGGCTAACCCGATAAGGAAGCCTGGAGAGGGGATACTGTGGGGGGAAGGCCCTTCCACTGGCAGGATGTGGAGGAAAAGCTGGGTTCGGTGGTGCCAGGTGGTAGTTGAGGGGTCTTTGGGCAGCTGAGGGATCCTTTCGATGGAGAAGTGCATTTGGAAATCCTACCATGCCTTCTGAGTCTAGACTTCGACTTTGCCCAGTGTCTAAATCTCCCTAGAATGATGAAACACAAACCCAGACATCATTAAGAAAAGGTTTAGCTGCTTTGTTTATGTTGGTTTGAGATATTAATGAAATAAATAAAACATAAATGTCAACTACTTGCCTGTTTTTCCTTCATGTCTGCAGTTTTCCTCTCTGGTGTCTGAAGACGGCTCTGTTCTGACTTTGGACATCCTTCTAATTTACCTAAGAGGTCAGATAAGTTCATTACTAAATTCATGGTTATTCTATACATACAATACACTATCTCTACTTGATGGCATGAAAGTAAAGTAAGTTTCGATTGTGTTGACAGGGTAATAAAAATCATGGCTTACCATTTCTGATGGGGTCTGCCTGGAGCTCCTTGTCCGGGCTGGGCTGCCCCACTCCCAGAGGAGAGGGATGCGCCATGCCGCTGTAAGGGATGGGGGAGCCTCGGTTTTGAGCCTGCAACAGATTGAAGTTGTACGCCATGGCTGCAGGATGGCTCATGATTCGAGGATCCACTGCAAAGCGATTCTGGTAACCTGGCCAGGGCAACTTAAAAAAAGAAGAAACAGATTATGAGATTATCGATAAAGAAACAACTGCAGGTTAAAGTGTAAGGAAAACAGCCTTTTGTTCATACAGATTATAGTTCAATAGCTGTAACTGTATTGCCTTAGATTTATTGTAAGCTGAAGGTGTACCAATCGGTCGGCTGGTGACCGGGATCGTTGATTTTCAGCGTGTTTGGCCGTGATCAGTGAACGACCAGTCATCTAAAATATATCCTATATTCTATGCTAATCTCAGATTCACACACAAGCCGCACGTCTCATGCCATGTGCACACACAACATGTTGACAGTGTGGACATGAGGTGTCCATCATCAGAGGGGGAAAGCATTGACCAACTGGAGGTTAAACAAAGACCACTTTCAGGTACTTGCGCCTCTCGCCCAAAAGCAACTTTACCAGTTTTTGTTTTGAAACAGTCCATATCTATGTGCACTCCTATCTCTCTCTCTCTCTAGCTCCCCTGGGCTAGAGAGAGAGAGAGATAGGAGTACAGTAATTTAAAGTAATATTCTTTGGTGACTGTCGGACACTTAAATGATAAAACCTGTGTGTGACTGTGTGATAATGTGAAAATGCATATTGACAATTAACGGATATAAAACAAGATAAAACCTCAGAAGACTTACAGGCAGGGGCATGGACATGACCATGTTTCCACCGTACACAGCGGGAACGTAGAGGATACTGGCGCCTGTGTGAGGGTCTATCCTTTGAACAGGACTGGGTGATTTGCCCATGGCGGCTGGTGCGCCACCCAAAGGTGGTGTGAACGCCCTAATCGGGTTTCCCATCAGCATGGCCGGGTTGGGTTGAACTGCAACGAGAAAAGGGGTTTAGACCAAAGATCGGATAGAACAACAAGGACCCAGTCTTTATGACGTTACTCATTGGTTTCTGAATCAGAGTTGCAATGTTAGAAACTGTGTCTCAACCTAACTTTCAGTTGACCTTACAACAGGTAAAGGGGCGGAGTTAAGGCAGGCCTTTAGCTTCTGCACCACAACCCTAATCATGCATAACTCTCAGGCTTAATAGCATCACAAGCAATGAGTTAGAAAACAAAATTCACCCCTGGAAAGGTTGTACCAATAAAGACTCAGACATGGGTGTTAATGGGACTTCTCGGTTTCTGCAGCCAGCCCTCAAGTGGACACTTGAGGAACTGCAGATTTTGACATTGGCTTCATTTTTCAACACCTGAGGCTGCTGCTTGGTTTAGACAGGTAAATAAAAATGGCTCTTAAACTTCATGGGATATATACAGAAAGCATAAATAGCCTAAAGTCTGATATCGTTAGGTGATTCAATGCATGGCTCTTTAAGAGAGACGATAAATACAAACAGCATACAACACATATTAATGCTGCCGTTGAGTGCAGAAAGAAGTGAGTTGCACAGATTTCATTGATTCTTCTGCATCTGTCTGACTATCTGCAGTTTAAAGAGGCTGAAGCCATCTGATCGTCTTCCCCTACTAAGCAGCGTATTAGCAACTCCTCGCTGTGTTTTTCAAGGCTGCATCGCTCGGATGGCTTCAATAGCCTCAGGACTTCATGCATCCATCTGGATGGATCCGGCTGCATTCGATCGGCTCTCACCAAGCTGTCGAGACGTGTGTATGGATATTAATGGAGACAATGCAAACTCCTCTACTGATGCTTTGTTGTAAAACCTGACTATAAATATCAAAATACATAATGAAGAGGACATAAATGCTAAGTATGTTTGTAGAAGATCTATTTTGATACATGCTTTTTATTTTTATGTCCCACTCATGTCTTTACCTCAGTCTAAGAGAAATAACGATCTATAAATTATACAAGCATTTCCCCTTCAGATGACTGCTGTTATGATTTAAGTGTCTCTGTTGCCGACTGTAGCAGCCTTCATCACTGATATCCACACAGGTCAGCATTCTTGTCGAGACTAAATGTTAGGTAAAATTAGAGGCCCAATCATGAAATAACTTTTGATTGTGACATTCGATTGTTTTACTTCTGCAGACGCCCGACTGTCCAGAAGGAGATACAGACAACAAATCTCAGCTGGATAAAAAGTTTTGAATTCAGACAAACTTCAACAACAACATTTCATAATCAGAACAACAGGCCGCATTAAAAACAACATTTTGATGTCTTTAATGACGTTACTCATTGGTTTCTGAATCAGAGTTGCAATGTTAGAAACTGTGTCTCAACCTAACTTTCAGTTGACCTTACAACAGGTAAAGGGGCGGAGTTAAGGCAGGCCTTTAGCTTCTGCACCACAACCCTAATCATGCATAACTCTCAGGCTTAATAGCATCACAAGCAATGAGTTAGAAAACAAAATTCACCCCTGGAAAGGTTGTACCAATAAAGACTCAGACATGGGTGTTAATGGGACTTCTCGGTTTCTGCAGCCAGCCCTCAAGTGGACACTTGAGGAACTGCAGATTTTGACATTGGCTTCATTTTTCAACACCTGAGGCTGCTGCTTGGTTTAGACAGGTAAATAAAAATGGCTCTTAAACTTCATGGGATATATACAGAAAGCATAAATAGCCTAAAGTCTGATATCGTTAGGTGATTCAATGCATGGCTCTTTAAGAGAGACGATAAATACAAACAGCATACAACACATATTAATGCTGCCGTTGAGTGCAGAAAGAAGTGAGTTGCACAGATTTCATTGATTCTTCTGCATCTGTCTGACTATCTGCAGTTTAAAGAGGCTGAAGCCATCTGATCGTCTTCCCCTACTAAGCAGCGTATTAGCAACTCCTCGCTGTGTTTTTCAAGGCTGCATCGCTCGGATGGCTTCAATAGCCTCAGGACTTCATGCATCCATCTGGATGGATCCGGCTGCATTCGATCGGCTCTCACCAAGCTGTCGAGACGTGTGTATGGATATTAATGGAGACAATGCAAACTCCTCTACTGATGCTTTGTTGTAAAACCTGACTATAAATATCAAAATACATAATGAAGAGGACATAAATGCTAAGTATGTTTGTAGAAGATCTATTTTGATACATGCTTTTTATTTTTATGTCCCACTCATGTCTTTACCTCAGTCTAAGAGAAATAACGATCTATAAATTATACAAGCATTTCCCCTTCAGATGACTGCTGTTATGATTTAAGTGTCTCTGTTGCCGACTGTAGCAGCCTTCATCACTGATATCCACACAGGTCAGCATTCTTGTCGAGACTAAATGTTAGGTAAAATTAGAGGCCCAATCATGAAATAACTTTTGATTGTGACATTCGATTGTTTTACTTCTGCAGACGCCCGACTGTCCAGAAGGAGATACAGACAACAAATCTCAGCTGGATAAAAAGTTTTGAATTCAGACAAACTTCAACAACAACATTTCATAATCAGAACAACAGGCCGCATTAAAAACAACATTTTGATGTCTTTAATTAGCAAATAATCAATATGGACAGATGGATCCACTCACCATATCCTTCAGGTGGGAAGTGCTCGGTGTGGTTTGCATGTTTCCCCTGTGAGAAAAAAATCACATTAGTAAGTATTTCAAAGGGAAATTGTAAACTTGTAAACCACTTTCATGAACAAGATATTGTGTTGAAGCTTCAAATAGCTTTTTAATGTGAGACATATTTTATCACAAGTGCCACAGTCTTGCACACTTCAACAAAACATTCCCAGTCTGTAATTGTCATTCAAAAAAGTGGAAATCAGAAGAAGACGAGGACGGAGAATAATGTGGATAAATAAACCGTTGTTCTGATATCAGGACCATTTTCACACCGCTGTCGCTCACCACTCGTAATATATGCACTTCTAATCGAGGATAATGTCTGATAAAAAGTTGAAGCCCTTTACTTGCTTTTGTCACTTGCGTTTTTCCGTTCTCGTGCACTGGTTCACTTGCTGAACAGCCAATCAGAGTGATTCCTCTCACCAACCGATGGCGATTCAACATGTCGAATTGGCCGAAAAAAGGCAGACATGGGCCGACTGAAACTAGAAATTGTACTTATTTTGCGCTTAAATGTTGTCAGTTCAAGGCCGGATATTTACGTCTCGTCTGCAATCAGAGGTGACATGCTGGGGCTAAGTCGCTCTGCCCCTGATCTGCCATCAGAGGTACTAACAGAGGAATAATGGGGGAAGACGGTGGCAATGTGAAGCGGGCAGGGCAGAACAGCTCTGTGTGTGAGCATGTCTGAGTGTGCTGAGCCTCTCGTGCTTCTGTAATACCAGAACTCAAAGTGAGCATCACACACCGGGACACCAAGATGACGCCTTTGTGGAACTTTGATACAGCGCTGTTGCAGAATTGCAATGTGTAAAAGGCTCTGCCCTTTGTGACGATAAACTTTGGAGAATGTGCAGATAAACCTGACCCCAGCACTGAAAGGCGGGTTTTCTCTTCAGTTATTGAATGAAATTTGTGTGGATTCTCTTGGCTGTATGTCAGACGGTGCACTGAGGCACCTGGAACCATCTGACCTTTAAATAAGTAACATGCTCCATACGCCGAAGGAGACAGTATATTAAAATGTAATATAATGCATACTGGTATCAGCGTGTCTGTGAGCTACAGACTATGTATGAGAGAGGGAGAGAGAGAGAGAGAGAGAGAGAGAGAGAAAAATCTGTAAGTGTGTATGTTTCTTTAAGCTGCCTGATGCTACGGAGCTGCGGCTCATTAGGCCCAGTGGGTGATGGCAGCAGGTTGGCAGCTGTGGTGATTTCGTTAACCTTTATCTCAGGGCTGACGGGAGGAAGGGAGGACAGACGCTCAAAAACAGTCCGAGCTAAACAATCAAACAAAGCATCCTCCCGACAAACCTCTCGTTCTGATGTTATCTCTGTGGTGTTTTTATCAGGAGCCTTAATCAACAACCAAGTGTGATGATATTGAAACGAGTTATTTTAGTTAGCAGCTTAATTAGCAGATGGGTGGAATGAGTAATCCGCACCAGTATTACCAGTTTGTTAAACTAATAATTGCATTTTTTTGTAGTTCAGGCAATGCTTATAAGCTGTATCTACCCGATTGAAAACCAGCACAGTGGACGGATGGCATCTCGTAGCGCAGAGCACTTAGATCTAAAACAATGGAGATTATGTTGTGTCGGCTGTGTCAGGTTAATCTGGGCAGTGTTTTCCCTAGGTTTACAGCGTTGAGGGGGTGGGGACAAGCCGACATGCCGACACGGTGACACAAACACTTGAAGGAATCTTGGTGTTCATGTGTTACTTTTAATGACAGCTGTCCTTTTCTATCAGAAAGGTATCCTTAAATAACTTCTTTCCCTGATTTCCGACTCTATACACTATCCTATCTCTACAATAAAGACACAAAAAGCCCAAAAATAAATCTTAAAAAAAAACAACAACTTGACCTTCAGGCGGGGGGGGGGGGGGGGGTAAACAATGTAAATTGTTTACCCGATACAATTTACATTGTTTGACCCCTGTGTTCAGCCGTGTTAATTAAACTGCACTCAATGTTGACTGTTTTCTAGTCTGAATTTGCGATTAATCGACCAGGAATTTAGTTGTTAGGATGATCGTTATTTTAAGTAGATACATGTCATGCTAACATATGTAAGGCTTTTATCATTCATCCCCTCTGAAGGCAAGAAGGGCTGTGTTTATGCCTTCAAATTTGTTCATTATTTTAACAAATCAGGTGGCTTTGTAAATATCTAAATAATAGAGATAACAATACACTGTCTACATATTTATCACTCTTATTTCTCTTCCTCTCCTAACATGCAGACTGTAATTTCTGATTAATTTCTACACTATATGATTTTTTGCGCCCATACTGAAATTACCACTTCACAGAAACACCTTACCTTAGGCGGTGACTGCTGCTGCTGCTGCTGCTGCTGCTGCTGTTGTTGTTGCTGTTGTTGCTGCTGCTGCTGCTGCTGCTGCTGCTGCTGCTGCGGACCCTGCTTGTTGGAGGCGGGCTGTGCGTGCTGAGGATGAGGATGATGGTGTGGATGGAGGGCCTGCGATGAAGAGTGGTGTCCCTGCATGGGCCTGAGGGCACGGGGGATGAACTCCGGGGCCAGAGGGTTCAGGACGTAGGTCTTCTTGAGCTCCAGAGCCTCCAGCTGAGCTTTGATCTGCTCAAAGGTGATGCCATGGAGACTTGAGTTTTCGTGGCAAATGGAGACAAAGTGCTCCCAGAATTTCCTGTAAAAAAGAAAAAGGGGGGGAAACAACAAATTCAGAGAGGTTTTACTTTTTTATTTCACCTAGATTAGGACTGAATGCTTCATGGTACTGAACTAACTCTTCTCATAAAGTTCTGCTGCATTACAGTTTCTAAGGCTGTCATCTCAAGTAGCCACATTTACCTGCAGCGCCCGACGGAGCACAGTGCTATGGGGTCTCCCACAACTGCAACCAGGGACTGGGCTCTGGTGATGGCTGTGTTGAGTAGCTTGTAGTTGGAGAGGAACCCGTAGTCGAGGTCTTCTGTCGAGTCCTCCACCAGCTGCTCTTTGCGTTTGATGGCCGTCTGTTTGTGCTTGCAGGTGTGCCGCGTCCGAACCGTGCTGAGGAACAACACGCGGAACTGTTTACCTGCAAAAAAAGAGGGTTAAATTATGAAGGAAACAAGAAATCTGAGAAGCACACATATTAAGAGAAGAAACAAAAGGTCTGCTATTAGAGTGTCATCTTTGAGAGTTTTTTTATTATTGATGTAGAGCTCATAGTTTAAGGTGTTTCTTCTCAATGTTGCTGGGTTTTTTTCTATGCTGCTACTACCAAAGAGCTGCTGTTGTTATAACAATGACATTCAAATCTTAAAGGGGACATATGAAATATCCACTTGTACGGTGTTTTGAACATATATTTGGGAAACCTGAGTGTCTACTGACCCACAAAATGTGAAATGAACCCATCCAGTCCTTTGTTTGTGGTCTGCATAAGTCTTACAACACAGAGAAAAATGCTCTGTTTCAAATGTGCTCTCCTTGTGACATCACAGTGGGATTCTGGTACAAAAATCCCCTCCACAGCCTAGTCAAAACTTTTGTGCAGGTCGACCATTTTTTTTCTCTCTAGCAAAGGAGTGAAGGAATGATGTCTACCCTCTGAGTCATGACTGTCGCGTAATGAATCAGAGGAACATTTACAGAGAATAAACTTGATTTCTGCTTTATTTATATGTAAAATTGCACATTCTGCCTTTGAAGAGGAACACTATTACCAATCAGGATTCATTAAGGATTTCAGATGTTCCAACAATTCTGGTTCTCCTTTTTCATATTTCATAGCCCTTTCCAGAATGCTTTTTTCATTAAGACACCGTAACTAAGCTCAGCCATCATCACGGCTTTGTCACATTGATTCCACAACAACGCTGTATTATTAATGCCCCAGTCTGGGAATTCATGAACTTGCAGTTGAGTTGTTGATAGAACAGATAAACAAACATCATTTCCAAGGCATGTTTCCTTATGTGTGTGTGTGTGTGTGTGTGTGTGTATGTATTTGTGTGTGAGTGAGTGTCCACACATTCAGTGTGGACGAGAAAGTTAATGACCTGTGGAAAGCAGCTGGATGCAACACAAGTGGGAGATGCCTGACAGTGGAGCAGAGGAGGGACTGAGGGGAGAAACACTCACTCATATCGTCCTCGTACTAAGACTGGGTGACAAGAGGGGGCCGTGTGAGCGCTGAGAACCGAGCTGAAGACAGCAGGGATTTTTGTCTTTAGGGTGACACTGCTCTTATTTAAAGCAACAACATTACTGAAGAACGAGCCTTACATCATCTTACACACAGAAACGTGTGAGATGGGCTTCATGGAGTGATGAAACACGTGGGGATTGAAATAAAACTGTTTTGAATGCAGCTGCTTTCTTCTATTTTTTTCATTTCCCATCAGGTGAATTATTCTCATAAAAGACATCAAATTCCTAAAAGAGGCTTTAATAATCGATGCATCTGTCTCTAAATATATTCATATTCTAGTACATCAAGGTAGTGTTTGTTTTAGTATGATTTCATGTTTGCAGGAGTAGAAAGTAACTAATTACTTTAACTCATGAGTAGCGTTTTTGTGTACTCTTTCCATCCGTGCATGTTTGTAAAGTCTCTCTCACCTTGTACGTTGAGCACTCTCTCCACGCTGACCTCATGCATCCTCTTCTTTCGGAGTTCGGCACGAATGCGGAAAACCTGATCAGCGTACGGCGACACCACTCCAATGCTGCCGTCGTCCAGCTTGCCCCAGGCCACCGGCCACTTCTTCCGCAACTCCTCCACCCGCTCCACGATCTCAAACACCTGAAAAAGATGGAGGAGCAACATGAGGCAAATTAAACAGAGGATTCAAGGCCCATGTGGATCTTCCCTGGAAACACACAGTCTGAAAAGGAATGTTTTTAACGGTTAAAAAGACAACAGAGGATAACGAGACACTTTATGTTCTGAATGACGCCATGGCAAGGCATTTGTTTTTTCAAGATTTATTTTTGAGGGTTTTGTGCCTTTATTGTAGAAATAGGACAGAGGATAGAGTCAGAAATCAGGGAGATTGAGAGGGGAATGACATGCGGGAAAGGAGCAACAGGTCGGATTCGAACCTGGGCCGCCCGCTTGGAGGACTAAAGCCTCCATACATGGGGCTAGCACACTAACCACTCATCAGCACCCCGCAGGCATGGAAGTTTACCCATAAAAAAAACAACAGATGAGCAACAGAACATCGAGTTGAAGACATTCTGCACGCGTAAACATGGCTGCTGTGTTCTGAAACTATTTTCTTCTTGGCCTGTCAGTCACGTTCACATGGAACAAACACACATGCTTTTCCTCACCGTGTTTTCATTTACAAACACAATGCTGTTCATGGTTTGACATTAAACAGACAGGTGGTAATTTCTATGGCACTGCTGACAGCTCTGGAGCTAAATCAAGAAGTATCGAGCTTAATTGGCTGGAACATGTCAGCAAAGGGTCAGAGGTCCGACATAGACGATGACCACATCAAAGTGAAGCTTCAGGGGAACCAATCAGAGGCAGGGACCATCCTTGAATAAGGCACCACGCTTGTCAACAGCAGCTCTTCTTTAATCTGCTAAATTGGCTCATGCTTTTCATCCTTAATTATGATAATTAATACAGTGAGTGCTTGAATGTATAATGATGTGACTGAACACTGCTGAGTGCTTTCAAATAGTCATTCTACTTGTGATTTCAGAGAAGGCTCGGGAAGTAAGGGTGCTGCAGAGCCGCCTGAAATCAGGCAGCTTGGTGCTTAACTATGGTGCATTTCATTTGATAACTCCTTTGTGGGAATGCGAGGGGAGAGGGGTTAGCAGTGTGTCGCTGCAGGACAGCAGAGGCTTCAGTATGGAAGAGGTGCGGCCAAACAGAAGTTTGATTTGGTTTCATGCTGGTGCTCGAGGGTGACATCTACTGGATCAAAAAGTGCTTTCTAAAATGTAAGATCTCTCACAAGAACAAAACTTTTTAAGACATGTTATAATGATTCATTTAAAACCCTAATTCAAGACTTTTTAAGGATCAACAGGAACCCTGAATCTTCCGGGCCTTAAAAAGATTAGGGGGATGGTGTCGGAGAGGCTACCTCCTTTTTGCACACTTACCTCGGCGTTGTTGTAGTAGGCAGTGCTGTTCTTCTCCTGTACGTCCTCCCCTCTGGCTGTGAAAAAGGTCAGCGGGTAGAAGTCCTTATGGGAGGGCTGCTTCCCACTCGCCATTAGCTTCCCATCATAAAATAACTCTGATGTGTAGCTGAAGAAAAAAAGGAAATAAAAGGGGGTAAGAGAAGGGGAATCAGAACGAGGGATTGGCCAGATAAAACTAATCTATGATATAAATATCTGTGAAATGAAATGGCGAAAATCCAAAGCAGCGTTTGATACAAAGTAACGACAAACACATTATACTGTGACATTTCAGCGCTACAGACTCATTTCTGTGTAGATGAACATGTTTTAAAATCTCAAATGTCATCCTACTCCTATTTAGCAGCAGTCAATTTTTTTTACACCATGATGTGATTCAAGGCTCAAATGGCACAAACCGCAGGAGAAGATCCAACCTGTAATCCATTCCCCTGAATGTATTTCTAAAAGAATTAATTTATTTACAAACCACTGGACCTGTAGTTTTTGACAACACAGTAAAAATACAGTTCTGTGTCGGATTACCAGAATTATTTAGTCTGTTATGCCCCCCCAAAAAATCTATTTCCTGAGTTTAATTTATTCTGTCACATCACAGTCTAAGGCAGAAAAAATATAAATATTGACAGAATGTTTCAGTGACAGACACAGTGCTTCCCTGTAACTATAGTGACTCATTGTCCCTGTAACCATAGTAACTCCAGCCTTTTGCCAGCCTGCATGCAGTCCTTTAGAATCTACAGTTAGAGCTGCGTCCATGGCAAGGGCCTCTTAACACTGCTGTTATTACTTTTCCACCAGTCTTCAAACAGTACAGCATCACACTGCACCTTCTGGTATGTGTTTATCAAGTGCC